TTCATGCTGGGCAATTACTCTGGAGGTTCCTCTTTTCTCTGGAAGCAGGAGACGCAGATGGGTGTTTTGTACAGTAGACATGATGGGATGCGAAAACACAAAACACAGTATCCAAAAAGCACTGGCAACTTGGTATACTGTAGACTACCGGTTGTTTACCTGTGTGCTCGCGTGGCTGACAGGGAGCTGTGGCTCGCCACTGCTGTTTTGGAATGCATATCACTAGCCCAGGAAAAGGTCAAACTTCATAATTTGAAGTATGGTTTCTACTAAATGCATATCACTTTCACACTCTGGTAACAAAGTAAAAAATCGTAAGATGGGGACTATGTTCTGTAAATTGGGTTAGATGATATTATTCCTTTAGTTTAATTAATTCTGAAAGCTGGTAAATGTAGATCTAATGCAATTCATTTTAGTCTTTAAAAAAAGACTAAACATATAAAATAACATTCATAGGTTTCAGGGATTATCAGGACTTGATATCTTTAGGGGACACCATTCAGCCCACTATACCCGCTCCCACCATACTCAAACCTCTCTGATGGCACTTTGCTACTTGAAGCGGCTACTGAACCTGAGCAAGCGCTGTGCATTCTTTTTGGTTCAAGAGATCAGTCATAGGTGTTCTCTAACTTTAGGAAAATTCTGGGGTAGCTTTATTCTCCAAGGCTAGCACACTTAAAGCTTAAAACCAAAGGGTGCTGGAGCTCACATGCTACATTTTTCTATTCTAAGTCTCCTTCCTCCCTCTGAGTATATTTCCATGGCAGAGTACCTAATTGGAAAATTCATATTTCATTGCTGCTTGTCCTTGGATATGGACACCCCTAAATTACAGTCCTGAATATCTTACCATTAGAGTAAGGTTGAAAGTACATGGAGCAGAGGAATAGACAATGGGAGGGCTGTTCTTTTTTCTTTTTATGACAGTCTTTCCACCCAAAATATTCATTGATCATTCCTGGCAGATTTTCTTTTTTTGCATTTGATCAAAACAATGTGGGTGTGAATTATCAGATTATTAAAAATTGAGATATAAATGACATATAACTGCATTAGTTTTAGGTATATGAAGTAATGATTCTATATATAGAGAGAAATGATTAGTGGAATAAGTTAACATTCATCATCCCTGTTTTTTGCTAATTTTAATGCATTGCCTTTTTTCTTGATTGTGGGTCACATTTACTATTCATGTTTCTAGTAATTATGGATTTTCCCTGACACTGTGAGTGAGTGATACTACACTGTAGAGACATTATTCCACTATGTTTTTCTAAAGTGTATTGATTTTACTTTGTTTTATTAAGCTGTTAGCTTGGCAGAACTCCAGTTCCAAACTCTGTGTCCCCTTTGACATAAAGCAGCTGAAATATCTAGTCAGGTTTTTTGTTTGTTTGTTTGTTGTTGTTGTTTTGCCTTAGCTGGGCTGCCTAAGCTCGTGCTGAGCCACACCCAGGGGAGTGGGTAGCCGGAGATTTGGATGGAGTTTACTTGCACACTTTGCGGTTCCCCTTCCATCGCTCCTTTTTCTGCTGAAATTCCCACTTCTCACTTTCCAACTGCTGTCATTATCCCACACTGTCCTCTGATTCCTCAGTCACCACCCAGCACCAACTGAAGTCTTCCTCACACAAAAAGCCATAAAAATGGGGTCGAACCCCAGGTCTCTGCCATTCTCTGAAGTCAGCTCCTTCCTCCTTCTTGTTTGGCTTTGGCGTTTCTCCAGTGCCTTGGGACTGTTGTTTATGTTTGGTCCAGAATTTATACCCGGAACTTTTACCAAACTCTGTGCTCATTAAGCAATAAATGATTTCCTCAGCCCCTTGTAACTGTCCATAAATTTGCCTATTTTACATATTTCATGTAAGTGGAATCCTACAGTATTAGTTGTTAGGTGTCTGACATATTTCCCTTAGCATAATGTTTTTAATTTTTATCCATGTTGTAGAATGTATCAGAACTTAATTCCTTTTTAAGGGTGAATGATATTACATGTTATATCTATACCACGTCTTGTTTATACATGCCCCTGTTGATGGACACTTGGGTGTTTCCACGTAATTGGCCATTGTGAATAATACTATTATGAACATGGGTATACAACTATCTGAGTTCCTCCTTTCATTTATTTTGGGTATATACCTGTGATGAAATTTTTGGGCCAATCATATGGTAATTCTTTAATTTTCTGAGAAACTGTCAAACTTATGGTGTACATTGGCTATATACCACTTTATATTCCCATCAGTAATGTATAGGTCTAAGGGTTCCAGTTTCTTCAAATTCTCGCCAGCACTTATTTTCCTTTTATTACCTTTATTATTATTATAGCCATCCTAGTGGGTATGAAGTAGTATTTCATTGTGATTTTGATTTGAATTTCCTGAATGACTAATGACATTAGGTATCTTTTCATGTGCTTGTTGACTATTTACATACTTCTTTGGAGAAATGTCTACTCAAGTCTCATGCCCATTTTAAAATTGGGTTGTCTTTTTGTTGTTGACTTGTAGGAGTTCTTTATATATTCTGGTTAATAAAACCCTTGTCAGATACATAGTTTGCATACTTTTCCCCATTCTGTAGTTTGTCTTTTCACTTTCTTCATAATGTCCTCTGATAAATGAAAGTTTTAAATTTTAAAGAATCCCAGTTTACTTACTTTTTTCTTTTGTTGCTCAAGCTTTTGGTTTGAGCAACAAAAGAAAACCTAAAAATCTATTGCCAATCCCAAGGTTCTGAAGATTAACTGTTCTTTTTAGGCATTTTATGGTTTTAGGTATTTTCCTCCATTTAGTGTTAATTTTTGTCTGTCATGAGAGGTAGGGATTCAACTTCACTCTTTGCATGTGGAAATTCAATTTTCCCAGTACTATCTGTTGGAGGCTGTTCTTTACCTCATCAAGCTGACTTGATATCCTTGTCAAAAATCAGTTGTACATGCCTTTTCTGAAGCCAGAACCATGCTGTTTGGATTACTTACTATAGCTTTGTGGTAAGTTTTGAAAATAGGCACTGTACATGCCCCAACTTTGTTCTTCTTAAGATTCTTTTGGCTATTTAGGGTCTCCCACATTTCCATACAAATGTTAAGTATTGACTTTTCCATTCCTACAAATGAATACCTTTGGTAAAACCTGCTTTTTGGATTCTGTTTGCTTTGGAGATTCATCCATGTCCATAGACATTTAGTTTATTTACTATTAATAAATTATAATGAAGCATCTAATTAAATCCCAGTGTAATTGTCCTTTCTTCTATTGAAGTACAATTGTCCTCCTATTGAAACTTAGATTTTTAAAAAATGTTTTATTTATTTTTAGAGATAGGGGAAGAGAGGGAGAGAAACATCAGTATGTGGCTGCCTGTCACTTGCCCCCACTGGGAGGCCTGGTCCGCAACCCAGGCACGTGCCCTGACTGGGAATCGAACCGGCCACCCTTTGGTTTGCAGGCCTGCACTCAATCCACTGAGCCACAGCAGCCAGGGTGAAACTAGATAGTCTTTAATTTTTTGCTTTAACAAGCAATGCCACAACGAATATCCTTGTGCATGCTACTTGTTTACATGTTTGAAAGTTTCTTTAGGACAGTAGTTTTCAACTTCGGACAGTTTTGCCTGACAGGGGCCACTTGGCAATGTGTGGAGACATTTTTGATCATCAGGACTGAGGGGATGGATACTACTGGCATCTAGTGGATAGCGCTAAGACCAGAGATGCTATTAAACATCCTATACTGCAAGAATAGAGTCCCACCCCACTGCAAAGTATCATCCAAATTGCCCAATTCATTAATAGTGCCAAGGTTAAGAAACCCTGCTCTGGGGCATGTATTTAGAGGTGGGATTCTTAAAGCTTAAGGTTTGTGCAGGATTTTGTGGGGAGTTTGTTGTTGTTCTTATTGCATTAAATGGATTTCTGTAAAACATGAAAATATTATTTCTAACAAGTAAGGGTTTAGACTGTCTGGAATTCGAGTTTCTTGGTGATGCTGGCAGTTATAAGCAATTTCATTATCTTAAACCACATAGAATAGTAACATCATCTAGAGTTAACGAACTCATTCACTTAACCATATAATCTTTTAACTTCATGAATTGAAATACATTGGTGCTTTCCCCCTGATTAAAAGATTGATTTTAGAGTGAGAATCTGCTTCAAAAAAGTGTCACTTGTGTAAGACAATGGTAGTTGGAATATTAGGCTGAAGATGCTGACAGAATGAGAGAAAAATTACAGTATGTAAGATGTAGAATATTTTTAAATCTTCACCCAAGGGCATGTTTATTAATTTGAGAGAGAGGAAAGGGAAGGGAAAGAGAGAAACATTGGCACAAGAGAGCATCAGTCAGCCGCCTCCTGCACGCACCGTGACATTTTGGTGTGCGGGTTGGTGCTCTACCAGCTGAGCCACCAGCTAGGGCTAGAATTTTCTCCTGACACAGATGGTTGTCATATATTGAAGGCTTAATGTTTGAAAAGTTTCTTTTTTCCTCTATTGTGATTTAGATTACTTTTTAAATTGAAGACACAGGGATGAACTTAGTAAATTTTGAGGCCCACTTTTAAACCTGCAAGAATCCTGGAAATCCCTTTGAAAATCTCATGGAACCCATGCCCCGGAACAGTGCTGTTCTTGTGTTCCTACAGTTTTGCATATGACTTTTGGTTGCTTTCTACCCATTTCTGAAGCCCATCTATGGACCACTCTTGCCGCCCCCCCCCCCCCGCCCAGCTTTCCAGGTTAAGAACTTTTCAAAAAGTCTATTAAATCTCTCAAAATGCTAAAATAAGATCCTGAAATTACCAGTGACTAGTATAGACATGCCTGTAGTATTGTTTGTATCTGTTTCATCAAAGGTGGAGGACTTGTAATGGAGAAAAATAGGCACTTGAAATTAGAATTCTTCAAGTCTTTGAACATTAAATGAGTGAATACAGATCTTAATTTAATTTTATATCTATAACCTTCATTTTTTTCTCTTTTTACTAGGCATATGCAGCAGTGCTCTGGCAACAAGCTAAAGAAAACAGACAAAATTCAACCGAAAAAGCATGTTTTGGAATCGCCCTACCAGAAGAAAAACTGAATGACTTCCGTGATGAACAAATAGGACAGTTGCAGGAGCTGATGCAAGAAGCCACTAAACCCAATAGGCAATTTAGTGTCACTGAGTCTAGAAAACCAGAATTTTAGTCTCTACAATAAAGCTTAACAAAGCATTTAAAGTTCAGAACCCCTTATTTTAACTGTCATTGGTTTTAAAAATTTATTTCTTCAGCTCTTGGGCTTTGAGAATGCCTGGTGATAATGAATTATATTTTTTTTATTTGGGGGTGTTATGAATGCTCTCTGTAACATATAAATGAGGACCACCAGTGGACAGAACTTTCCATTATTGAGGTAAGTAACAGTACTTGCTGGATGGAATTTGATTTTTGGACTAAACAAGGAAGAACGTCTCCAAATGAGATAAACTTGTGGAATTTTGCCAAAATATTTTTGTATATAAACTTGTTTTTAATGCTATTCTTGTTCATACATTAGCCTCATGTTTTTAGCTTCATCAGGTAAGTATATCATGATAATATAGATATGAAATTTCCACAAGATTATTATTTAATTGCACTGTCATCCTGAAAGTTTCGTCATTTCTACTTTCATAATATATATTCTTTTAAATGTCCCTTTTCTCTGAGTTATTGTTTATTTATAATGAAAGGTTAAAAAGAAATTTTAACGTTCAGTATTATTCTATCATTTGTAAAATTGGTTATGCAACATATAGTGCATTTCTCTAATGTTTGTTAGTAACTGATGACCCCTTAAAATAGTCTGTAGTTATCTTGAGACTCTCATTTATTGCCTAATGGTTGGGGAAATGAAAACACTTTTATAAATTTTTCTTACACTTCAATTCATTTATAAAGTGAAAAAATCAAATGGTAATCCCATTCACATCCTAAAATATTTATGAATTTTAAAAAATATTACAAACTGAAACAACTCGTATTTAGATTTCATGTTACCCTGACATCTTTGAAGTGATCATTTTTCAGGTGCACTTGCATTTATATCAGGGCCTTTCACCTCTAGTTTTATTGAGAAATAATGACACATCACTGTATATGTTTAAGGTATACAACATATGTCAGCTCTTTAAAAATTGATTTGTATCTGTTCCTGTAAGGTTTGATAGTATTTACTATTCTTTACTGCTTTTCAACCATTCCTGCTTGGTTTGTGTATTGCCTAACTCTGCTTTAGGTTATAATTTTTCTATTTCCTGTTTTACAAAAATAATGATGTTCTCTGGGATTTCATCTCTAGAAATCTTAATTTACCCATCCATTGCTCCATATATTAGCTATACTCTTCAATCTATAACACTAACCTAAATCTCAACTTCAACTCTGAACTTCAGATCTCCGTTTGAAATTCTATTTGGATTTTCCAACTCATTTAAAATCAAACTACTTCTTCTTCCCTTTTCGGTGAGTTCATGATATTAACATATACCCAGCTCACTAGTTCAGAACTCTGTAATTCAGCTTAGATCTCACCGTTTCCCTAGACAGCTCCTCATTATTCAGCAATTCTGACAGTTCCCTGTGGTGCATCGCAAAGTGGCCATAGTTCTCTACCACCCCTGGTACTCATCCCCTTTTGCAATATGAGCTTGCAGCTCCTCCTTTCAAGAATTCTGTCTATTTTCCAGTTCTTCAAACATGGACTGGACTTGTTTCTTGATTTGCTCAAAAGAATGAGGGTAGTGACATTGTGCAAACTGGGGGACTAAAGCCTCAGGGCCTGGTACATGTCCACCTGCACTTGGGAACAAGCGTTGGAGGAAGCTGGGGTCACAAGCAATTTCCCTGGGGCATGAACACCTCATGTTTAAATCACTCTGACTGGCATCATGAATGAAAGGCAGCAAAGACCACCAGAAAACAACTTTAGAATTAGCATGCATATAATAGAAGTCAGGTTTGAAGATACCTACAGGAAACAAGGCGCTATGAAAACTGACCTAGCATACCTGAAAAAAGAACCAAATAGAAGTTCTAGAGATGGGAAATAGAATGACTAAATCAATGGGCAGGTTTAACAGAAGATTAGATGGCCCTGAAAAGAGAACTAATGACTGAAAACTGGGACAGGAGAAATTGTCCCGAATGGATGTAGCATAGAAAAGGGGCCTGAAAAATATGAAAGGGCAGAAGATAAAGCCAAGGGGTCTAATGTATAGCCAATAATTTTCAAATAGATAATGAGACAGAAGCAATATTTGAAGTAATTGCTGAGAATTTTTCTAATCAGTGAAAAACAGCAATCTACACATTTATCCTAAACAGAATCTATGTGAAACAGTAGAATGCTAAATACAGAAACATGTACCAGAACAAAAGTCCTATCTAACCTTCAAAGCAACATCAGTTAGGCTTTACGTTAGCTGACTTCTCAACAGCACTAGTGGAAGCCAGAAACCAGTTGAATGGCTGTCTCTAATACGTGAAAAGAAAATAACTTCCAACTTCAAATTCTGTTCTTACCAAATATGTTTCAAGAATGATGGTGGACTACAGACAGTTTCAGACAACAGATGTGAGCAAAGCTGCCACCTATAGGCCCTTACTAAAGGAAATTCTAAAGGATGTGCTGGAATTAGTAGAAAGGTGATGAAAGAAAGAATGAACCAAGATGCTTGTAAATATTGATTAATGGGACATTTACCACATAGTACAATAAATATGTTTCATGGGGTTAAATAAGTGAGAGATTTTAAAATGAACAAGAATAGTGGTATGTAAGTGTGTGGGGTAGTGATTGGAGTGACCGCTGTTAAGTGTGGGTGGTCTGAGAAGGGAATGAAGAAACTGATTAGGTATTAATGTGATTTCCAGTGTGTCATTTCTATGTGAAAATGGCTAAAATGGTTGTTATATAAAAATGACTATATGTTCCAAGCTAGTAGAGGGAAAAATGAAATAGCAAAAAAAAAATGTTATAAAGTAAGAAAAGTAAAGAGAAAAGGAAACATAAAAGAGGGAGGATAAATAGAAAAAAAATGAAGTAATAGATATAACCCAATTATGTCAGAAATTAGAATTTAATGTAAAGGAACCGAGTTATCCAGTTAAAGGCAGATTGTTAAAATGGTTGAAAAATGAAAGCAGTTGTATGCCGTTGTAAAGCATACAACACAAAGCATAAAATACAACAAGTTTGAAAGTGAAATGATGGCAAAAGTTATACCAACCAAAAGCCAGCTGGTACAGGCATGTTAATAGCTAAAAAAAAAATCGTTAATGTAGAAATACTGCTAGAGATAAAGAGAGCAACTCCATATAATGAAATGTTCAGTTCACTAGGAGGATCATTTTAAATTGATACTGTGGAATTGATAAGTGATTAAGCAGCCCCATATTTTAGGAAGTTAACACACTTACAAATAACACAGAATCAAGAAATGCTAACGAATCCTAGAATGTAAGTGGAACTGAACACTAGTAAAATAATAAAATTAATGGATTGTAGCTGAAACAGTAGTTGGAGGAAACTGATAGCCTTAAATGTGTCTAGTAGAAAGGCTGAATATTAATTAAAAAAGCCTCTATCTTAATATATCATAAGAATGGCACAAAATAGTCTTAAAGGAAATAAAGATGAGGATAGAAAGTAATAAAAAAAATCAGAAGTTTATTCTTGGAAAAAGTCTTAACAGCGACAAACATCTGGCAAAGTTAATTCAGGAAAAAGAGCAAGTACACACATCCAGTGGCAGGAGGGAAAATGAGGGCAGAACTATGTATGTTACAGTAGATATGATATCACAAACAGCCTAAAGCCAGTAAATTTGTAACACGTACAAGGAAATGGACACATTTTTAGAAACATAGCAAAATAAAAGAACGATTCTATAGCCATTAAATTAATTGACTCAGTACTCCTAGAAAGAAAATTCCAGGCAAAACAACTTCTTTGGTGAGTACTGCCAAATATTCAAGAAGTCAGTCAGTCCAAATTTAAGCTCTTCCAGTGAATAGAAAAAGAGGGATATTCCCTAACTCATTTTATGAGACCAGCAAATATGTGATACCAAATGATAATACGAGGAAGGAAAATTACAGGCCAATTTCACTTAGGAACGTAGACAAAAAATCCTAAATTAAGTAATTAGTAAGACAAATCCAGCAAAGGATGATTCATCCTGACCTAGTCAGGTTTATGCCAGGAATCCAAAGTTGTTTTTACATTAGAAAAACTATAATGAAATTAAAGGGATGTAATCATAATTATGTAGAAAAAATGCATTTGCTAAACATTCAATATCCATTCATGATAAAAACACTTAACAAACTAGGTACAAAGAGTACTTCATCGATCTAATCAAAGAGTTTCTACAAACATTTGCAGCAAACATAGTGATGAATCTTTGGGAGCTTTCTCTTTTGAGACTGGGAATAAGACAAAAATGTCTGTCATTGCTTTTCAAGTCAAAATGGTTAGCCTCAGATAATACTACCATATATGTAGAAAATCTAAAAGAATCTATAAATTATTAGCATGAACAGGAGAACTTAACAAGTTTGCTGGATGTAAAAATTGCTACCCAAAAATCAATTACATTTCTATATAGCAACAGAACATGAAAATTATAAAATTATCATTAAAATAATATCAACAAATGCTAAATACTTAACAATTTCACAAAAGACATTCAAAACTCTGGAAAAAATTATGAAATTTTAAACACACTAAAGAAGACAAAGTGGTATTCTATGCTCAAAGTTTGGAAGATTTAATAATGTAAATATCTTAATTATCACCAAATGCTTTGTAATTTCAATGCAATCTTCATCAAAATTCCAAATGGCTTTTGTAATTGACAAGTGTATTTTAAAATTTATATGGAAGTACGAAGGACCAAGAATAGACAAGACACTCTCTAAGAAGAATGATGTAATAGGACTTACACTGCTTTTTGGATATCAAAATATAACTAAGTTAAGATAGTGTAGCATTTTATTGTATGGTGGCTGGTTTATGGCAACGGTGGTACTGCCCTACAGAAGAGAAAGGACTGCTTGTCAATAAATGGTTCTAGGACAATTGTGTGCTTTTTTTCTTTTGTAAAAAAAGAACTTTGGTACCTAGAATTGGTTGTAGTTTTATTTAAAGATTGAAATATTAAGGAAAAATTACTATATAGTACAATATATAAGAATATAAT